AAGTTAACGGCTAAATTGTTCTGGTGGGTTTCGAGTTTTTCTTGATATTTCTTGCTAATTCTTGTTATTTCTTCAATCACTGTAGGTATTTTTAAATCTTATTTTAAATATAAACATAAAATCAAAACAAATGGAAGAAGTTCCAATCACATATTTACAGTGTGTGTTAAATAAAGAGGTCTGTCGATTGCATATTATTGGTCGAGTTTTCAACCACTGGACGACCTCTTGTATACTATAAAAAATGCACACTAATCAACGCAAATATCACTTTAAAATTATGTGTAGAAATATTTAAAGGAATTAGCAAGAATAATAGTAAAAATAGTTCCTAGGCAGCGGTTGCAATCAAACCAGTCTATTGCAGTTCATTATGGATACTGCTTGTATATTAAATAATATATATCAATGTTAAGTAAATATAAGCGAACGTCTGATTTTCGGTCCTAGGGCTGTAAAAATCTAATTACAACTATAGCTGCCATTTTGGCCCTGGGCAGCAATGCGTAGCTTTTAGCCTCCAATTAAACTCTTTATAACTACTAAAACATCGTTGTGCGGTGAAAAAGATTTGCCAATCATACTCAATTGCGACTCGAAAAACCACAGTTTCGGATTTAATTAAGGGTATCATTAAAAAGTACTCGTGCAGTAATCAATTAAACAGGCCCCCCTGCGGTTTCGGGGTTAGAATAGGACCGCAGGCCTCTCGGGCTTGTCGTAAGAGGCGACTAAAAGGGTGACTGACGTCCTCACTGGGAGTCCCTGGGAATGCCCCTGTTGTGTTGCAGGGGTTGATGTGTGCTCTGGACTGCCGATGGGTATTCCCAGTGTGTCGTGAGGAGCCAGCCACTTCGGTCCTTGGTCAGGAAGTGCGACATGGATGCAGAGGTCGGGCTTTGCATTGCAACAGGCGACCCCCGGCACGTCAGGTATCCGGTGCTGGGCAAACGGAGGTCGGGCCCCGGGGAATTGGGGTAGGGGATTGTCCCCGAGGGTATACCCGCTCCTGACTGAATCCGGGCCGTCTCTTGCCGCACGATGCGCTGGTAAACACATGTATGGCTTGTCATAACCCCCCCACCCAACACATTATTTAACAGCAGCTCTAATGAGTAAAAAACGAAGTCGGAAAAGGAGTGGAACCCTTTTGGGCGTAGCTCCAAGGTCAAGAGGTCGCCACCAGCGAACAACGTTAAGGCAACTCCACCGCCTGCAACCTTTAAGGGCTCAAATGAGTTCCCCCCACTAAGATCTCTTTTGACAAGTGAAGAAGGAAAAGTAGACGTTGAACCGGCGTTGACGGGAACCCTCCTGGAAAGTACAGCGCCGAAAATCAGCCCCCAGAGGTCGGATCCCGAACTTCAGTGTTACCGTCAACAATACGACGATGCTGATGAGGAGGAGTCTGACCTCCTGGTAGAGATGATGGACCTCATCAATAATATGGAAGGAACCTTGAAGGTCCAGACCAACGTAAACCGGTCAATCAAGGACGGTCTCCCAAAGGTGAAGGATCGGGTTGCCCGAGTTCTCGAAATTAAAGGCTTGATGAGACAGACTTTAGTTAATGAACGGGAGCTTGTGAACCAAGTTTTAGCCCCTAAACTGAACGACAAGGGCGGGAACCAAAGGAAACGGGCAAGGAGCTCACCAGCGGATAGCCCCGATCTTCCTGAATTGGCCAATCAGCCTCAGTCAGATGTAGAGCAGAAGGTCGAGGACAGGGCCACCCAGATGACACCCCCTACTGAGCACACTCCAGCTCTAAAGAAGCGCCCTCAGCAAACCAGGGAGCTTGCCTCTCTCCCAACGGTTGACGGAAGCAGCTCTATGAACTCTGCTGCGGCACCATATGTGGGTAACTGGGAGAAGAGGCTTCCCCGCAAAGAAAAGAGGAAATTGAGACGAATGGAGGCTGTCTCTAACAAAGAACCTGCAGCAAGAGATCGGAAGGTTGCTGACCCTGCTCCGGCGAGGGAGGTTCGTGGAAAGGCCCCCCCTGTTTCAAAGAAACCCAGGCCGAGAAATCCCAGGGCTGAGGCAATCCTGATCAACCCTTTAGAGGGGCGATCTTTTGCTGAAGTCTTGGGTCGACTCAAGTCTAAGGCCAAGTCAGAGGAGACGGATACGATTGTTAAGTCAATCAGGTATACCCAGAACGGGAAGGTTCTCCTCGAGCTGGGGAAATCTGGTGACCGAGTGGCTTTTGCTGCAAAGGTCAGAGAGGCTCTGGGGGACCACGGTACCGTTCGGGAACTCGAGCCTAGGACCTCGGTGGAGATCCGGGACCTTGACGGTCTTTCGACTGAGGCTGAGGTCAGGGAGGCTATCAACAAGGCCATCCCTGATATCCAAAATGCCGACTCCCTTAAAGTATGGCTTACGCGGCCCAACCGCAGAGAGCAACGCATAGCTATCGCTGAAATGCGAAACAAAGATGCAAGCAAGCTGCTTAATCCCACACCCCTTAGAATTGGATGGGTCAATTGCAGGCTCAGACGGAGGGTGGTTGTACCGCGATGCTTTCGCTGCCTCGGGTTTGGTCACTCTTCCCGAAACTGTAAGGGACCCGACCGATCCAAGAATTGTTTCAGGTGTGGCGGCTCGGGCCACAACAAGAAGAACTGTACCGCAGCAGAGCGTTGTTTTCTCTGCGCAGAGAAAGGCCAAAAGGACGCCTCAAAAGGTCACATCCCAGGGGCTGGGCGATGCAGTGTTTTCAAGGCTGCACTCGACCTTGAGAAGGCTAGGTCTAGGAAGTGAGGATTCTCCAGGGTAACCTTGAGAGGTCCAGAACGGCTGACTCCCTCTTAGATCAGCTGGCCCAAGAGATCGGTGCGGACACCCTTCTGATCACCGAGCAGTACCGTGACAGGGACCCACACTTCTGGTTCCCAGATTCTCTCGGTACTGCCGCTTGTTGGGTTCAAAACAGCACCGAAGCACCAGTGCGAGATCACGGACGCGGCCGAGGCTTCGTTTGGGTCAGGTGTAGGAACGTCACGTTTTTTAGTGTCTACCTTACCCCCAACGAGCCAAGTCGGGAATTCCGTCTGAAGATTGACCGCTTAGAAGACAGTGTACGGGGTACCGTTGGGCATGTCGTTGTTGCTGGTGATTTTAATGCGACAGCTGTGGAGTGGGGTATGACCTCTACAAACTCCCGCGGGCCTGGACTTTGCCGCCAGGACCGGACTTGTCGTCTTAAACGAGGGCGAAACGCCTACTTTCCGGCGCCCCGGCATGAGAGGTACGATCCCCGATATCTCCTTCTCGTCGGAATCACTACTAGCACGGATCTCCAACTGGAGAGTCATCGAAGACCTCATGGCAAGTGATCATCAGTACATCGTTTTTGATATACTGGATGAACACCATAATCAGGCGCCTGTATCACGATCTGGACCACGCCGATGGTATACGGACAAGCTGGATGTTGAGAAGTTCACTGACGTAATCTCACGGGGAGCGCTGGTGAATTCTGCTGCACCTGTTGACGCCGAGGCATTGGTAACGTCCACGATGGAACTGATTGTCTCGGCTTGTGATCAGGCCATGCCACGCAGGGGACGCCGTCACGATAAGCAAGCTGGACTGGTGGACTTTAGAGATCTCGAACCTTCGGAAAGCTTGTCTGAAAGCCAGACGTGCCGCTATGAGGGCCAGAAGATTCCCGGATTTCGAGGCTAAGTCAGCGGCTTACAGGGCTGCGAGGAAAGCTCTTCATCGGGCTATCATCAGGAGCAAGGTTAGCTGTTGGAGGAGGCTTCAGGAAGATGTTGACTCTGATCCTTGGGGACTGGGCTACAAGGTTGTAACCCAGAAACTCGGCGCCCGATCACCACCTTCCGTCATGGAGGGCACCACCATGGACAGGATCGTCACCGCCCTTTTTCCGTCTCATCCTCGGCGGCCTTTTTTCGACTATGGCGAGGTAGGGGACATTCTACTCTTTAGCATTAAAGAGCTGGAATCATCTGTCCTCTCCCTGAAAAATAGAAAAGCACCTGGTCCTGATGGTATTCCCAGTGAGGCTCTCAAGAAGGTATTCTCAGTTAACCCCCTCTTACTGCTGAGAATGTACAACACATGCCTGTGCGAAGGGGTTTTCCCAACTCCTTGGAAAAGGGCTAGGCTTGTGCTAATCAGCAAGGGGAAGGTGACCCGAATATGCCGTCGTCTTACAGACCCCTCTGTATGTTGGATGCGGCCGGAAAACTCTTCGAGAAACTGATCCGCTGCCGCCTGACGTCTGCCGTGGAAGCTGCCGGAGATTTGTCTCCTCGTCAGTACGGCTTCAGAAAGGGTCGGTCAACAATCGACGCGATATCCGAGGTACACAGAGCGGTAGAGCGTGCCGAGAGCTTCAATCATTACTCTCGCCGTATCGTGCTTCTTGTTACGCTAGATGTCAAGAATGCTTTTAACTCGGCGAGATGGGTTGATATGTTGAGCGCGTCGAGGATCAGCTTCCGCGTACCAGCATATCTGTTGAGGCTGATCGAGGACTACCTGAACTCTTAATTACGAAACTAAAGATGGTTCGCGGACGATGGATGTTACTTCCGGTGCCGCGCAAGGTTCGATACTCGGCCCAGATTTGTGGAACGCTGCCTACGACAGCCTTCTGAGATCTGAGATGACAGACAGAGGAGACCGTTTTAGTTGGGTACGCCGATGACGTTGCAGCCCTCATTGCTGCACGCAACTTTGAGCTAGCCCAACTGAAACTGAACCAAGTCATGCGCGTTGTAAACGCCTGGATGACTGATCATGGTCTGACACTCGCTCTGAGCAAGACAGAGATCGTCATCCTCACGAAAAACGGATTGAAACCATCGTTCCGCTACGAGTTGGGAACGTAGTTGTCCAAACCACGCGAACCGCCAAGTACCTTGGTGTCATGGTGGACAACAAGTTGGAGGGATTTCTGGAGGGACCAGATCTTCCGTACGGCGGACAAGGCTGCTAGGAGTGTCGCTGCTCTTAGTAGGCTTATGGCCAATGTCGGTGGTCCCCGGTCCAGCCGTAGAAGACTACTGATGTCTGCAGTCCAGTCCGTGCTTCTCTACAGCTCTGAGGTGTGGGCAGACGCGCTTAACAAGGAGGCGTATAGGTTGAGGCTCGCACGAGTGCAGCGTCAGGCGGCAGTCAGGGTCGCTTCCGCGTACCGTACGGTGTCTGAACCGGCCGTTTTGGTGATCGCTGGAGTTATCCCAGTCAAACTCTTGGCAGCGGAGAGGAAGGCAATCTACCAGAGACAAGGCTACATCGGAAAGGACGCTGCAAGAACAGAAGAGCGCTCCCGCACTTTTAGATGTGGCAAGAAAGCTGGGAAAGGGAGACTCGAGGACGTTGGACTGCCAGACTCATCAGACAGGTCCAACCGTGGGTGGAACGGCGGCACAGTGAGGTTGACTATTACCTCGCACAGTTCTTGTCAGGTCACGGCTATTTTCAGTCGTACCTGCAATTGATCGCCAAAACAAATTCGCCTGACTGCATTTACTGCCCATGCATTCCCGACGACGCGGAACACACTTTTTTCCAGCTGTCCACATTGGGATATGCTTCGCCAGGAGGCCATTCAACATCTTGGGGTGCTGTCGATTGAATCGATTTGTGAGACCTTGCTGAAGGGTGAGGACAACTGGTACTGCTGGTCGCACTTTGTCCGAAATGTCCTTCAAGCTAAAAAGAACGATCTAGATCGGAACATAGTCTAGATTTGATAAGAAATAAACTGCTAGACACGGCGTAAGCCCCTCGGGCGTAGGCAAACTCGGCCTAGTTCTGATGAAGTGTGACAAGTGTGCCCAGGCTAGTGTCCGAAGAGTAGAGGAGGTTTTTAGTGGTTATTCTCTGGGCCTTAAGCCCGTTGGAGATGTTTCGATGTAGTGCAAGTACGTTGGAACACCTCTTAAGTCTAAACTTCAAAAGCCGAAATGGATGGAATCAACTTCAAGTTATCTGACCACAATTATATATTGGTTATGAAATTAAACTGTTCTAAACTAAACTTACCTAACCAAACTTGCTGTGACATTTCAAAAATTACTTTTGATAGCAGAAGACCAATTCGTTAATACCAAAAGGCAAAAAATGTGGTTCTGGTTCGGATTCCACTATTAACTGTATAGGTACCTTAGTTGCCACTAGCTTGTTTGTGCTATTAAACAGATGTGTCTAAGGAACATGTCGGCCTTAGTTACTAACAAGACTACAAAATCGTACCACTCATCCTACACTCATCTCCATTCATACTTGGTTTAAAATACCTACTTTGTATGGTCGTGGTCGCCATTTCAATGAAAAGTGTTGAAGTATTAAATATGGCTTTCGCGATCCATCGACTGTTCTAGCCCGTTCAATCCTTAACACATTCACAACTGCAATAGTACAAAATTTTTAATTCACATGGACCAGCGACACACATATGCGACGGCCGGTTTCCACCCATAGACTGCCATCGCATATTTGCGTCGGGGTTTTGATGTTATTAAAATGCTTATATCTGTGTAACGGTCTATTTGAAGGCACCAATTCGGGACAGCTCACTCACTCTACTGATCATAGTCTTTACGAACTATTGTAAATAATATTATAAATAGTATATATAATAGAAGGTTCACTTGCACTACGTCGAAAATATAAAATAAATGAAGAGGGTTCACTTACTCTACAGATCATAGAGCCTATGAGTCTCGTGTCTTATATATTTTAAAAATACAGTAGGAAGGTTCACTTACTTTACAGATCATAGTGACTATGAGCCACTTCGACTGCTGCGACTGCCTACATAAGTGTATTGAATCACCTTAATTATTTATCAACACGAAATAAATATGTAGGCCTACGCGCAAGCAAATTTATTATATTTTTGGACTGAATACTTTTAAAAATGAAGGGAGCGTGAATTTTATGTTAAATTTAATGAAAAGTTATAGAATAAAACGCATTTTGAGTAATATGAGGTTATATAATACATAATACACACTTGTATGATCCAGATAAGTCAAACATCATCTGGTAACTGTTCCTAACAAAGTAAGTAATTTCATTAGTTACACAAGCTTTTAGGTGAGTATTTTTAATTAATTGACTGTTATAAGTCTTAAAATAGCTCTGTAATACCGGTACTTGACAATTGCTTGAGCTCGAGCAACGAGTACACTTGATAAAAATTAAACAATACATTATTAACAAAATACGCTCTCTTTCACGCTGCACGACTAGTAAACGGCAGAAGTAAAGCAGAACGGCAGAACGGCGGTATTGGTTTACCATAAACGCCTACAACGATGCGCTGCAAACTGCGTGACGTGTAGCTAAATGAACTGTAGTGTAAGTGAGCCGTCTTTTTTTCCTGAATTAAAAAATAATTCATACGCTTGGCTCATAGGCACTATGATCTGTAGAGTAAGTGAACCTTCCTACTGTATTTTTAAATATAAGACACGAGGCCCATAGGCACTATGATCTGTAGAGTAAGTGAACCTTCAATATTATTTACGAGGCTCGTATAGACTATGATGTGTAGAGTAAGTGAGCCATGTGTTTTAAGGATTAAATTTTTTATCATAATTTATTTTACAATCTGATCAACCAAATATGAGAACAATAAGTAAAATAGGTAACATAAAAAAATGGCAGGAAGCAAGCACCTGTTCATCAACAAGTCTTGCCAAAAATTGGATCAATCATTTAAATATTTACAGAAATCTGTAGCTTAGGTCCAGCACATGTACAACACTTTTTAATCTGGTAATGCACTGACTATTGTCCAGCAGATTAACAGCAAGACTGTTCGGATGATCTAATTTTTCTTGATACTTTTTGCTAAGGTCTGTAATTTCTTCTTTGACTGATTTAATTTTGAAGTCATTTCTAATTGTAGTGTTGGGTACGAACCAGGGTGCGCCAATAATTCTTCTCAGCGTCTTAGCCTGAAATCGTTCAAGAATTTCGATGTTGGAAGAATTACATATTTGGAGGCTCATAGTGTCAATGATTTGTAGTGTAAGTGAACCCTAACCTTGGGGCCGATCAAGCAATGTCCTACGTGTCGTAACACTTCGGCCCAAGTAACACTTCGGCCCGAAACCCTCAGATGTGGCCTACGGTCCAACTCTCTACCTGCCCACTAGTAACACTTCGTCCCAACAAAATATTTGACAGGTTAGGTTAGGTTAGGTAAGATTCCACCGATTCTCCGTCATGTGAGGTCAGAGGATGCAAGGGGTGACGGTTGGGTGACATTCCACCAGAGGGTGGTTGCAAAGTATACAGGTCATGTACCTCTTACTACCTAAACTGCGTTCCTCAACCCTTGTCAATTTTTCGTCGGGCCGAAATGTTACTCCATTAGCTTATTTAATCACCTGTAAAAGCGAGTGGGACGAAGTGATACTGTTTTTCTGAGAAATTTGAGTTTGGCCGAAATGTTACTGGGCCGAAGTGTTACTACATCATGTCCTAACCCGAAACAAGGTTGGCCACGGATGAAGCACCCAAAGGATTGAGAAAACATACTTGTTGAGCTGTATTTTGTGTTATATATGTTTTGTGATATGGGTTTTCAAGTGATTATATTAGTTTCTTTATTGCTTTATTTATTTATGCTTTAGTATTTGTTTATTTCAGCGAGGATTTTTTCATCTGCAATTTTCATCCGCGGCCTGAGTGTTGACGATTGACTCAACTCCATTTCAAAAATAGGGCCCGTGGGCAAGATCCAATTAAGGGCAGGATCAAGATGGCGTCATCCTGCCGTTTGTTTTGTTTTTGTTGATAGTAAACAAAAATATGTCAACATTATGATTGCAATATAAGTTTATTTATTTATTTTACGAGCAACCCATTTTAACAAGATCATAAACCACTGAGCTAAAATCTGGAGGTAGCACTGCCATGGCAGAAGTCTGTCAAAAGCGTGTCGCTGATTTTGTTAGGTTGGTATAGCAGTGAGTTTTCTTATCCAATAACATGGCTTCTTATAACTCACACCTCACGCAAACATGGCGGCTGGCGACACGCATCTTTGACATTCAGTGCTACCTCCAGTTAGAATTATTGCTCAGTGTCATAAACCGATGGTCGTTCTTTATTCTTTAATCAAATGCCATAGGGCTAAACCTGAGACTAAACCTATCTCCAAACCAGGAAACTTGACTATGTTCACCATTAATCATAGCTTGAAAAGAGGTAAATAAGTTAATTTACTAACAAAAACAATTTATAATGTTTCAAAATAACTTTAAAATACTCAGGTTTTAACGTGCAATAACTGAAATAAGATTTTGATATCAGTCCTTGAAATAACGGATAACCCCAAATAAATAGCATGGTTAGGTTAGAATGAATTGGAATTTGACAGAATCCAGAATCCCACCAACCGATCACACGGCCAACCTAACGACACGGAACATCGAAAACAAACCAGCAAAAACAGGGGAACGTTTTTCTATAATGTTTAACCAGAGTGACTCCACTCCAGTTATAATCTATAGCTCAATGGCTGGTGTAGCTGGGTTGCTCTTTTGCTCAGATCGTGGGATGGGAATATTTCAGTGTCAACAAAATGGGAATAATTCAGTTTCGATCAATTTCTATGGTTGTCGATAGTATGGAACCCACCCACTGAGATACTTGAACAGAACCGGTACCATTGATTATAAACAAATTACGTTGCTGGTCCGGGCCCGAATTTATACTTATATAGCATTACCATATGATTTCGACGATTCAGCTTAGGCAATGTTAAATGAAGTTTATTTTCGGACAAGTCCAGTAACATCATTTGTTTATGTTTATGAGATACTCCCTCCCCCCCCTATTTTGTTGACCCGGTTCAACAAATTCAATACATTTAGCAAAATAACCACTTAGAATGTACATATTTACATGCAACTTGGAACGAAGGTATATCCACATGTATTCTAGACGTATGTAAAATTTGGTAACGATTAAAAAATATTTACCTATATTATTAACGAAAACCCTACGAAAATAGCTCATTTTATTTTGTTGACTAGAGTCAATCACCTAAAAAGGTACTTAGAATAAAGCTACACATGAAACCTGGAACGAATGTATATCCACATTGTATTCTACGTGATTCTACCCGTCTGTAAAATTTGGTAATGATTGAAAAATATTTACCTATGTTAATCGGGAATGTGAGCTATTATTATCATACAAAATTTCAGTCAAATCTGACCAGTACCTATAGTTAAAGCGTGATTGAACTTCCAACAAACAAACAAACACAAAAACTTTCACATTTGTAATATTAGTAAGATTTTATTAACAAAATACCCCCGCCGCAGCAAAAGGAAACTAATAAAGTGTTTTTTTTTAGTAAAATATTGATAGCTTAGTACAAAATAAATGAATTTGCCAAGTTTTATCAAAATATATCCATAAACAAGCAAACTACAACATTTGACAATATTCTCCATAAGAATAGTATGGGAATTTTAAATTTACAATTTTTTTAATTTTCTCCGTTACTAATAACCGAAAAAAATACTTTTATATACTAAATTATTTGTTTTTTTAAGCTCTTTAAAAAGGTCTAAAGAGAAATTGGGAAATTTTGTGTTTTGAGGGTCAAAAGTGAGAAAAACCAATTTTTACCCCATAAAACCCCCCGTAAAGCCCCGTTCCCATGGTCCAATCATGCTGGTTCGCGAACTCATTCAAGTATATCCCGCTTTACACCTTTAAACCAAATTTCATCAAAATCGGACAAAAATTACTCAAGTTATCGCTTTCACGGACGTATATATATATATATATATATATATATATATAAATATATATATATATATATATATATATAAATATATATATATATATAAATATATATATATATATATAAATCTATATATATATATACATATAAAAAAAATTGAACGAATGGTGTTTTTGGCCTCTGGGGACATAAAAATGAAAAAGTAAATCGGTCCCGGGTCTAGGTCTTACCGTGCCACCTACGGTAATAGCTACTTCCCTATAGGGAAATTCGCTAAAACCGCCGATAATAGCTAATTTTTATTTCGTTGACCCGGGTCAATTGCCAATACCCCCGCCGCAGCAAATCTGCACTCTGCAGACTAAGCGTCATTTTGACGTGCGAATAGTCACTTCGGACAGAGACAGTGTTACCAACAAAACACAGTAACAAGCGGCCACGGCCATCTTGATGGCAGATTGGCAGATGGCACATTTTTAACCGGAGAGTTGTGACTCCAGTTACAATCCATTTATCTCTCTCTCTCCATGCTCTCGCTCTCTGCCAGGGCAACGGAAACAACAACACAAAGCACAACAGTCAAACTCAAATCAAACAAAACAAACATTGACATTTGATTTTTGAGTTGAAGAAGGAAATAAGGGAACCAGAAACCCCCAATTTCTATTTCCTACGACTACTTTCATTGTTTTGCAGCCTTGTTAGTTTTTATTTTGTTCCCCAAAAGTTATTTGAGACGCATCTTCTCTTTAAACATCCATTTGCATTGATATTAAACTTATTGTATTGTTACAAAGAAAACATTTCTAATTTGAACTTATGAAACATGAGTTCTGAAGTAGACGTTGACACTGACTCACTTACCAAGTAAGTTAGCACCTGTTAATATGTCATGTAATAGTAATGTAATTCATACTAATTAACACTAATAAAAATATAATTGGTAGCTTGTTTTAAAATGTTCCAACGTAGGCTATATGTACTCTGTTTTATTCCCACAAAGTTCCAAAAGCTTCAAATTTTCCGTTGGTAGGTATTAATTTAGCTAGGCTTAGGCTATAAGTTATAACTTACTGGCCATGCCTTAACTTACCATAGTATCTTTATTTTATTTTATGATTGATTTTGGAGATACCAGTAGGCCTAAGCTAAAACATAGTCTGGATTTTAAACAAGCTCTAGATTGAATTTTGGAACTATTTTAAAGCTAAGCAAAAACTATCAAGGGTTAGGCTATATTTACCTTATTCATTCTTTTTCTGATTGAAAATCATACCGTACTATAGGTAGGCTAAATAGGAACCATACACATTTCATTGAATGTCCTTCAGTCGTGTCCAGAGTTCATGACAAAGTTTGAGGGGTTGGCAGCAGGCACGCTGTTTGCATGTGATGGGCCCAATAAATAATTAACCTTATTGGGATCTTAATTCTCCTCTCCACGTACCTTGTGGGGGAATTTTTATTTTCCTTATGTCCCCAACAAACCCAAAACCTCTTGTGCCCCTTGGCATGAACCACCAGGCCCATTTGCCATTTATTAAAATTACCCTTTGTTGATAGGAGATATAGAATAGAATAGGCTACACCTTTTAGTATACCCACCTTTCTATACCTACCCGCCTTGGGGATAGGTTGGTCTCTCAAAAGATGGGAACCTTGTGTTGATAAGGATTTTGTCTTTTACAAGAACTCCAATGTGGTTTAGAAATATCCCTGAGGCCTAAGGTGTACCGGTATTTACTTTCGATTTTTGTGATGTTCCAACTTCCAACTGGGCCAATTACCCTAGATGCTGCAGCTTGGCGGCAGACAGTTGCAGTCAAGAAGAGTAGGCCTTAACTTACAATAACAAATTGCAAAAATAAGTAAAATTTTTCCATATAACTTGTTCTAAGCCACGTAAGTTAATAGCACCGTATATTGAATACCTGTACAAAATTACAATTTGAACCAGCCTACTTACTTACTTACTTGATACTTGTAGGTATCCCATTAGTAGCACGGGTGTGCCATGGTCGTCAAAGTTTTGGCCTATTCTTGATTTAAGAACTCTTCTACTGAGTAGTAAGGCCTAGTCGTTAAATATTCTTTAAACTTGGATTTGAACTTCTCCGCATCTTCAATTTCCCTTATGGCAGCTGGAATTTTATTGTAAATTCTTATGCATGTAGGTCTTGGTCTTGGCCTGATATAACTTGCAAACAAAAAGACTTTTTTAACCATGTTTTTTACACTCAGTTTAAAAATGTATTTCAGATGGTTGAAGATTGGCCATGTTTCTTACATGACTTTCGTAGGAAGAGATGTTGTGTCATTTGGAGCTGGATGTTTCATTCTACTTTACAACACTTCCACCCACGAAGAACTCCTATATACAGCTAACAGCTTTGAGAATGGGGAAGGGGTTCAGTGTCTTGTAGGATATCAGCAAGCTTATATGTTTGCATTTGCAGAGACTTCTCCTCAACCTAGAATATTTCTAATTAGTTATCCTTCTTTTGAACACATTTGCGTCTTAAAAGGTGAGGTAGAGTCTTTGATGTTCATTAATTGATAGGTAAAGATTATTATGTTTGACTATCAATAGTCAATGGTATTGTTAACTGGAAATCTCATGAAAGTTATAAATTTATAGTTTAGTTTTCAATTCATAAAAAAATTGATCATTTATTTAGCCTCTATCAATACGTTTAGAAACTCTATAACTAGCCAATTTCGTTGGCACTAAGATTACATTTTATATTAGCTATGTAAGTTTTGATGATCATTTTATTATAATGTTTTGATGATCATTCATAAATTTGTAGAAAGCTTTTTTGTCAGAATTCAACCAACACTAACAGGATATTGTAAGGTAACAAAATAATGTAGGTAATTAAGCTTTTTTGTATTTGAATTTCAGAATGGATACCTTGACTATTTTTATATGTACATATTTTTCACAAAAATATAGCCAAAAACAATGTTTTCTTTCCCTCTCAATGTTGATATGCATATAACAAGGTCTGGCAGTTTGCCTAGCACAATGGTTGATTACAGACCAAAGATAAGCTCATTTTGACATTTTAGACAGTTTTCTTGTATTAAGAAGTTAACTATATAAAATATTTATTCCAACACAAATAATATGATAAGAAACACAGTTTTTTCCAAAATATGCAATTGCATCTTCACCCCATATGGACCAAAATATTACTCATGTTTTTGTCGCTTAATCTTAAGTCCAACATAAAGTGTAAGGCCTACTTCTTTAGATGGTTCATAAATTCTATTTTACTTTAGTGTTCTTAAAATATTCTATTTGGCTACAGTAACTTAAAGGCATTTGTCCAAAAGAGAATCCTACAAAGTTGAATTGAGCTTCTTTCTTTTGACTTTGAAACAAACTCGTCAGCTTGGTAGTAAATGTCTGTTTAACTACTTATATTTAAAACTAGCTGTGTGCCCGTTCTACGCACGGGGATTTTAAAGTAGTCAGTTGAAATCTTCTTATATTAGGAACAGCAGTTGGTTTGCATATTTTTAGATATGCAGGCAAAACTATTATATATAAACCTTCGCAAATACAGTATCTGACAGTTTCAAGCCAAAACACATGCTTCGCAATTAAATGTCACCAGGTTCGTGTTAGTCCATATGTTAAATCAAATGATTAAACTAAAAAAGCTTTATAGGCCTAGATCTATGAGGCATAGCCCTAAGGTAGGCCTATAGTTGAAAGTTACTTCCCACAATGGTTCAAAGTATTTAAAGTACTACCTCAACCTCACCATTTAACACTTTATTCGGGTTGACATTTTAGTTATCAAGGTGCTCTTGTCCTTTTCGTGACACTGAGAAATAAGGACATAAATGCGTTACCAACAGACATACACACAAAAATACAGAACTTAATTAGGGAATTTGCTACGTTTTAAGCATAACAAAGTACATATAAAATTTGTATTTGAAATTTGTATTAATGTCATCAAATTTTATCATACCAATCTATATTTACTTAGACCGAAGATGACCCGAAATGCTGTCGAAATGGCGTCTTACTATATGAAATGAAGTACTATAGACAATTTAGATTGGTAATTTATAATAAAAATTACCAAAATAGGCTACAAACTATTGATACTTAAACAACGTAAATCATAAACAATTCATGATGGTTTGCTAAACAAATGTTTTACTTAAATGAGTTATCATTTTCTTAGCATAAACTAAAATTTTGAATCCAGACAGAAAAACCAAAACTTATACAGTTAAGACATCAATTAAATTGAGTACGGCTATAATACGACTGTATAAATAAGGTGAACACCAACGATAACTAATTTGTAAATTACAGTGATGTGTTGGTACATAAAAACGATTCTTGCTGCTACTCTAAGGAAAAGAACCAGTACCAAAAACCAACGTTTACAGTTAAGAATTACGTCCGACAAATTAAATGCGTTAATCAAGTCCCAAAGTTATTGATATCTTGGTTTTGGATTTTCTCGTAAAAGATTATTGGCAATCAAAGTTATTTCCCATTAATTGCTTTATTTGTAAACAACTTTTCATGTAAAATTATTGGTGTCAGTTTGAAAAAAAATCAACCTCATACAAACAATTGTTTGTTATTTAATAGATTATGTAGGCCTATTCTCTAAACAATGATTCGTATATCTTTTAACATTAGAATGAAATGTGACAAAAATGACACAACACTGGGTTTTTGGACGTTTGTAATTTTATTTCTTAAGTAGGGAGGTTATGTATTCTAGGGAAAATTACCGGTATCAAGGATCGTCGTCGAAAAGGTTTTTATGAATAATTGGGTAGGCGTAAGTACCCAAGAGATGGGCTATGGGCCTATTGGCTGTATGGTCCGGCGATTGCATCATACGGTGAGTAGGAAAAGAAAGTGACACATCGGAAAAGCAAGTTTAGCATAATCCATAAACCGTAAACCTCTGTTACAATCACCCACTGCAGTTGTGATTTTTTACTTTACACTTTACACAACCGCCATTGAAGCGCCGTCAATGAGTGGAATCCTTGTTAGTAAGCTATTGGCGACGATCATTAATAAATTCAAGTTTCCCAGCCCTATACAACACTGATTCAAGGTCTTCTTTCTGGTTATCAAAACTCAAGAACAATTTTACACACAAAGAATCTCTGGTTCCTGACCTGGATGATGCCTAGTTACCGGTATTCATTATTTCATTTGGTACACTATATTATTCCACTTGCGATCAATTAAATCCGTTATGTAAGACAACGTTTTCAAAACGTGATCGGAAATGGTTGCGGTATTTGTAAACAACATTTGTAAACATATCAGTGACAGCTAGAAAAAATAATCTTGATCCGAACAGCTGTTCGTTATTTCATAGATCATTATGTGATAAAAATTGGACGAAAACTTGACAAAAATCGCACAAAACTGCATTTTTGAACGTCCGTAATTTTATTTACTAAGTAGTGAGGCCATATTTTAATGGCTAAAGACACTCTCGCCAATCCAGTGAATACATTAAAATGACTTGGATCTTGATAGGTACTCTCGTTTTCCTGGAGAAGATTGCGTAAAATGCCATCTTGAGTGTTACAGAAAGACAGAGAGACAGAAATTTTGATGAGACTTGTTTCGGCTTCTTTAATGTATAAAACGTAAAAATTACCTACAAATTTATGATTCTGAGCAATGTACAGACAAAACTCAAATTTTATTTATATAGATTTGATGTATTATAAACACGTTTCTTGGTTAAGAACAATGTAATGGTTGTAAAGAAGAGTTCTAGGCAAGTAGGTAAAGACGAATATGTATGGTGCTCTTTAAAAAACCTCTACAGGAATAGTACCGTATTTTAAACAACGCTGGAGAAGTGATCGATTGACAGAATGATATTTATGTAAAAAACCAAAACAGTATTCTTTATTCTGTAACATTATGTTTCTCTATGTCACTTGGGTAGAAAGTATTTGACCATTTGAACTAGGTTGATTTGAACTAGGTAATACATTTGGGATGAAGCCTTTATTGAAACTTGTCAGTAATTAATAAGATAAGAGCAATAATTAATTACAAAAATTTGAGTGGAAGCTTCATAAGTAGGTAGTGTAATCATTTGGCTTTAAAAGTCATTATAACATTTATCAAACATTTGATTTACTTAACAATAGTGTAGATAATTAATGTTAACTCACATATTTTTTACATTTTCCTGTATGCCAGGCAATTTAAAAACCCTGGAGACGATTATATATCTTGTCTATGTTCTATGTTATTTTCACCCATAACTGTTGTATGTTTGTGCTAGATCCAATGCCGAGCCCACACTGTTACCTGACCATGGCATTTGCAGAGATGGAATGTCTAGTATGTATGACAGGCATTCCGACTTTTGAAATCATTGTTTGGTGCTGGAGAACAGGTGTCAAACTCGCATCTCTCCCAACTGGAATCAACTCATCAAACATTCAGCTGAGGTGATTGTTAAAAGACCAAATAGGGGATGGTTATGCAAAGTCTTTGGATATATAGTTCCAAAATATAACTATAGGGTGGTCAAGAAATATGAAATAAAAGGCATGACCATCTTGCTGTAAGAACACATTACACAGAGGTTTGGGATTAAGACTATGGCCACACTAAGTGACTTGGTGGCCACGACATGGTAGCCGAAACTTTTTTTATTTGTGGCTTAGTCTCAGGAGGTGACCACCCTTAAGCGACTTGTAACTGTTGAGATGAATTTTTATAATGAGTGAGAAGGACCTGTTGCTTTATTCAATTTCCAAATAAGAAGAGGAAACACACATATGGTCTGATGAATTCCCTGAAACATTGTTTACCATAACAACATTGTTTCGGGATAGTCATTAAAACGTGACAGGGTTTTTTTATTTCACGATTCTGAATCAACCACTTAACGGATGTGTTGATTCCAACATAACGTGTTGAAACAAAGATAATACTGAGAACTAGGGAATGTCTAAGCTGTAATTTTAGTTTAGGGTTTCAGTATTTTTAGAAATTAAGTTTTAATTAAAAAAAGTCTAGCAGCCGATGCTAAGATTCTAGACTAGCTTTTGGTATCATACCATTTGATAATGTAACAGCTGTAAACATTCAGGGGACACAAATTCAGCATTTGGATAAAAATGAAATGACATGCTTAGGGTTTACTTATTTATACTATGTGTAATGCTATAATAATTGATACGTTCATTTATTCAGAATGTTATACCTAATATATTTTTAGAGCAGTCTTAAAAATCTTGAGTTAGTTTTAGTGCAATAATTTGTTTGAAGTAACAGCTGGATGGATATAAAAAGAACTATGAGGTTATTTTGTCTATGATTTTGTCATTGATTATAGGAAATAAGTAGTATAAGAAGAGATTAGTAGACCACAGGGATAATGTGGCATACTTTGTGCCACATTTTGGTGATCTGATCATGCGATTCAAGATCCTGACCAAATCGTTGTTGTTGGAAACGTTAATTGAACACATTATTTAACACAGAGGAGACAATTGACTGCAATTCACAGGCCCCAAGAGCCAGCTTTGATGAAAGATTGATTAATTAAAGCATTATAACACTGAAATACGTGGATTGTTCAACATATTGAATATTTAGTGTATAAGTCAACTGGACACAACGTGAACTAAGATTTGAGATAATAATCAATAATAAATGACGGAATAAACGACGTAGTGAATTTGACTAGATGATCTGAAATTACATATTATTAAAATACTATTACTACGACACAATACCTCAAGGGGGCGTCCCCCCGTATCCCAATGAATTTAGCCCTCCATTCCTCAAGACAGCACACGCACGACAATCGCTTTCGCGACGTCTCTCCCCATACCCCACCGTGCGCATGCGCGACCACAGAGTCCTGGTGGCGTATGATGGTTTGAAAGTGGCGGGCTATTTAAATGATAGTGGATTGATCTCCACAAGATCTCCCCCCCTCCGCCCCCAGCAGTCAAGGGGAAGAGAGCTGGCTATTTAAATGATAGTGGATTGATCTCCACAATAAGTAAGACCATTGCTGTTTACAAATCGAGGTTCTGCCCACGAGTCTTCAAAGAAAAACCGTATGCAAATTATTTTATTGCTCGATTTTTGTTTTCTGTTAGAGTAGGAAGATAACAATTGTTAACGTGTTCATCTTGGCAGTTTTTTGTTTACAATGTGTAAATAATATTTGACTGCTTAAACTTTGTTTGAATTAGGCCTGAAAATATTGATGTTATTAAACAAGGAGATCCAGAGATAAACAGATGGATGACATAGATTAAACACAATGTTATCATTGACCTAGGATACTGCAAGTAGACTTACCACCCTTTTGTAAAATATAAAACGTTGTTTGGCGTCTGTTCAGTTCAGTGGCGGGTATAGAATAATTTTTTGGAGGGGGCCGTGATTAATTGAAGGTTAGGTTATGTAATTTAAAGTAGACGCCCCATGACTTTATCTCAGTTTTGCTGCGGTAATTTGCGCTAAATGTGACCTTTGATTTACTAAGATCACGCTGTATCATTAAATTGGTCCATTAAATTTTAAAAATTTATCTATTCAAGCCAAATGAAGAAAATATCTCAATTACTAAATCAAAAACACTGATCAATATTTAACAACGTGTCATTCCATCTAAAAACACTAATCCGAACCTAAGGAGTCAAATACGCGATTGTGATTATCCTATTCTGAGGGGTTCTAACTACCTCCGTGTGCTAACTGCAAAACGTTAACATTTCAGTTCAACGTCGAACAGATTTCAATAACAACAGGCCCACTTTTATAAACGGGCAGACTGGGCATATGCCCAGGGTGGTTGACCTAGCAGGGTGGATGGGGGGCGCCGTGGGGCGCCCTCAACCACTGCTCGTCCTAGGAAAAATTGGTTTTTATCAGCCGGGATTTCAAAAATAAAATCGTTGATTTCAACTTGTAGTTAAGTGATTTTCCCTTATTGCAAAAGTAAATAAATACAACAAAATTGAAAATACTCGACCTTCAGGTTATACCTCGTGTAGTCAGGGAAATGCAGGCAGCAGTGTGAACCGGGCGCACTCACTTTACTATCAGAGGCAGGGCGGTAGGCCTGCATGGTGGAAGGAAAATACATAGGTGTGCTATTCCCGTCATATGCTGACGTCACTCAGATTGCAAACACCTTTTACCATTAAAAAATTGCAAAAACAATAACAATCAAATCAAAACAAAAATATACTTATATGGCATTACATCAGCTGATTTTTTGTTTGCAATCTGGGATACGTCAGCAAATGACGGGAATAGCACACCTATGTATTTTACTTCCACCCATGGTAGGCCTGTAGACTGCAGCTGTTGACGTGCCCCTCCTCTCCCTCCCACCCCCATCGCCTCACCCACCCCCACAAGTCACAACTAACTACCGCGTGGTGCCAGTCCGAGTCCCGAGTCCAGTCAGTCCAGTGTCCAGTACTCCTCAGTAGTCAGTAGATTGTGTTCGTGTTGTGCCTGCTGCACAGTCGTCAAATCAGTTACAACACAACCTAAACTGTAACAGTCACTAGTCAGTGTTGACACTCACACTGCAGGTAGTGAACCATTAATATATAGGCCTAAGTAGAAGTGTTGATACAAGTAGGCCTATAAACAGTGAAAAATGCATAAAAACTTAGTGGAGCCGAGAACCGCAAGCGGTTGGCTCAAAGAAAACAAACGCAAGAAGCAGTTTTAAAGAAAGTGAAGTGTATTAACCAGTATTTCCACTGATACTGAATTGAAAACTCCCTCCTGAAACCAAACTGGTAAAAAAACACGCTAATGTATAAATATATATATGTGCATTGGCCTATAGTAGAACGATTGGTAAAACATACTCCCTTAGTAGAACCTCGTTTAATACGTGTGTAATGAAAATGAACTGCACACTGTACTGTACTGAACAGTAATTACTGTTCAGTAATTACAACAAGTGATTAATCAAATCACTGCGTAGTGCATTAAGCTATTGGCGCAGGGCAAGTGGCATTCGCATAGCAACTACTGTCAAGTTCATTGCACGCACCCCAACCCCCCTGCTGTGGATTTCGGCGAACTGATGAGTCAACCCCCTTCCCTCTTCCCCTCCCTACACTGCTGTGGTCAAAACCTTTTTAGTTATATATATATATATATATATATATATATACACATATATATATATATACATATATGTATATACTATATATATACATATATATATATATATATATACATATATATATACATATATATATATATATTTATATACAAGGGGGGCGCTGCTTTTGGGTTTGCCCAGGTCGCCACTGACCCTTAACGCGGCCCTGAATAACAAACAATAAAAATAGCTACCACTGAACTGACTGAACTCTTCGTTACTCCCCTCCCCTGATCCCCTGCACCGGTAGATATGCTGGTCTCTGTTGCAACTGTACACTGTTTCAAGCGAAGATAGCCGGGCGGCGGGCAGGAGCTCCTGTAGGTCTGAAGCACAAGCGTCTTTAGCCTGATTGATCACTTATTGCAAACGAAAAAATTGGCCATCACTGATAAACCAGTTTTTCTTGGTGACTATGCGATCTGTCGTCTGTTTTGTTTAGCTCTCCCGCTCTTATCTCTGGTCCTGCTTCGTTTCAGTTTATTTAGCTGTTTGGTTAGACCTAGCTTAGCTTTCTTTACTATTTTGTTCTTGGAATGTTTTTAAAAAGAAGTTCTGAATTTCTTGTAGTAAATTATATTAATTGTATTAATGATGTATCTGGTAGGAAATGAAAAAAGGATCGAAAGGACTTTGGTTTCTGCTGTGAACAGTGTGGTTTACCACTGCTGTGAACAGTTGCAAGCACGTCTATCTCAAAAAGAAGTCATGAAACATGACCATGATAGTCATTTGGGTAATAATTCGACGGAAAACTATTTTGTTGACTTTTTACTGTTATATTTTAATTTTGTATAGTCTTTTGCAAATAACTTACTATCTTGGAAGGTAGGGTTGAACCTATCATCAATTTACTGTATAAATTAATAAACGTTTTCTGTGAATGTTCAGTTTGGTTTGATGTTCAGCCATAAATTAGACGCTTGTGTCTGACGCACATAGTTTACAACTAAACATATGGACGTAGTTTGAAATAGTTTTTTAGTTTAACCTCAGATCTCAGGACTTATTACTTCCAGACCAAAGCCGGAATTTTATATTTTTATTTAAACATCTGTTAACTGAGTCTGGTTCATAAATAAAGAGTTTGCTAGCAAGACCTGACAACAAATTGTTTGTAATAGTTGAATTTATTTACCTTACATCGTATTTTACTGAATTTTCGTATTGTTGGTTACAGTTTGGTGTGATTAAGTGAATGTTTGAAAATTATTATTCACAGTGCAGTTACTCGTTACATTACCATATTATCATGTAATTTACAGTGTGTATCAAAATTCCTTTGTAGTGTTT